GTTGCGTGAGGGTGTGGGGGACAGCGGCGAACTGACAAACAGCAGTTTGGTTCTGTTTGGATTCTGCTCGCAGTCTGCCCACTCGTCAGCCTCGGTCTCGTTAGACCTCGCTAACAAGAAGAGCAGCTTGGAGGTTCTGCACCCAGCTGCAGGTAAAAGGCGAAACCGCATTCTTGCTATTTTTCTTTCTTCACTTTGTAAATTGTTTGGTTTTGTTCTTTTAGTGCATGTATCAGAGGAAGAGGAGCAAGGAACAATCACGCTGACCTTTGACCTCCCACGGTCTCCTTCACTCATGACGAACCCCGTGCTGCTCTTGGCCTTTGAAAGTCCACTGGCACGAGGAGACCTGGAAGCTGCTTTCACTAGTCGGTCTCTGCAGCCAAACACGCAGGTAAAGAGAGCTCAGGTGCAAACGATGCTTCAAGGCTGCTGTCAAACATAAGGCCCGGGAGCCAGAATGGGCCCAGCAAAGACTTCACACTAGACGGCTTTGAGCTACTGAAAGTTTTTCTGTAATTTTGCACATTTATTTCCTTCATTTACTACCGAAACTTTTCTCTGTCATGCACAAAAACTGAGGCTTGGTGTACAAATTGCACTCGTTTTTTTTACATTAAGATGTCTCAGTGATGAAATGTGCAGTTAAACTTCTCACACTCACTGAAAGAGGAGTTTCACTTAAGATCACATCGAGCTGCATTAAGTGGCCCTCAATGTAAAACGAGTTTGACATCCCTGCCTTAGGTGATAAAATGTAATGAAAGGTTTGCAGATCTCTAACTCTGGGTTTTTGTGTTGCTTTGTTTTCCAGGCTGTGTGCATTTCAGGAGACACGCAGTATGTACTGCTGACAGGAAAATCATCAGAGGGGAGCGTTAATGACAGGTGGCAGATTACTGCTGAGACAAAACCCCCTCATATGAGTGAGATATCATCTTCTTCATTTTATTTCCCCATCTCTGGTTCATTGTGTACCCTCCTTACATTTCCTCTCATTGTAGAGCAAAACCTAAAAAGCATCTTGATTGGTGAAAAATCAGGAAGTAACATCAGCATGAGTCCACTTCTGTTTTTCTCCGGGGGAACGGGAACTGATACGAGGTCGGGCCGGCTTTCTTTCTGCTGACATTCACAGTCGTCAGAGACGCGCTCAGCTTTGTTTTTTTGTTTGCTTTCCCAGATGTGCTTCAGACTCGCCCCCGGCATCTCTGCAAACCTCCTTCCTTTGTGAGATGAAACGCTTCCTGGGTGCTGTTCTGCCTCAGGAACACTTTGCATCCCCTCCACTTCCTCTGGACTCCTTACAGTCTCTGCCTCCCCTCTCGCTTGGCTTAACCTCCAGCCAGACCCTGCTGGCAGTAATGATCAACTCCACAGCTCCCACAGTCTTTGGCTTCAGGAGCTGGGGCTCTGTGTTGCCGGTGTGCCACGGAGAGCTGGCCCTGTCTGCTGCACTGTTAGAGGAGCTCAGACAGAAACTGGACCAGACTTTGGTGCAAATGACAGATATAATCAGAGAGGAAGAGGTTTCACC